AGGGAAATTTTTGGGGGTTAAGCAAGTGTTTGGGAATGTTGAAAACCCTTTTAAGATAATTGGGTAGGGGACTAAAAAGAAAAATGGGAGAAAAGGGTTTAAAAAGGGTGTGGGTAAAAAGTTTGGGGGGCCCGGGGTAAATTATTTTGATTAACTTTGTTTAAAAAAGGGGGTTTTGGGAAAAGTAATACATATTTTAACCCCCAAATGGGCCCCAAAGTTTAAGTTTTTTACGCGTACACCCCCAAAGTATATAAAACGTTTTAATTTTTCCCGCTTCCAAAATTTGGAATTGGCCTAGATGCCTGGGCACATGAATGGGTCTTAAAACCCTTTTAGGGGGGTTGGCCTACTAAACGGCTTACGACCCCGGGTTTTTTTTTATTACTAGTACCCTAAATTCTGCGCCCCAAATTAGTGGGAAAAACTGGTAGGCCCAAATGAAAAAATGGGTTCTATGGTCTTGTGCATATAAAAAAAAACCTCAGCACACATGCATAAAAAGAAAAAAAAAAAAATTTTTTACAGTGTGTTTGGAAAAAAACACTCTTTTCACTGTATTTTTGTATGGATTTATTGTTGTATTTTAGTTTTTTTTTTTGGGTTTATTTTTATAGATGGAAGCATTTACAGAAAATTTGGGTGATTTTGATTGGTTTTACAATGAAAATACCCCTTTGGGCTTCCAAATTTCGAAATTTTACATAATAATTGGGCCAAAGAAAAGAAACAAAACCCCGGGGGGAGCCCGCATTTTAAAAAACCGCTTGCAGTTTAGAAATTTTGGATGTTTGATTCGCCGTTTTAACGGAATGCGTAAAACGAAAACCCCTAGAGGGGGTTCCCACTGTACCACCGTAAACAAATGGAGTTTTAAAAAATAGCTATGATTTGGTTTTACTGGAACAAAGGAATTAGCCCCAAAAAGGGGTCAAAGGGGGAAAATCCTGATTCATAAATAACACCCCAAAGGCGCTAAAATTCGGAGGCAAAATTCCGCAAGTTTTTTTTCCATCAAATTTTGTTCTTTTGGTGTCATTCCATCAGGAAAAAATTTCTATCCTTTTAAAAAAATAATTTTTTTTTTTATTTTTTCCCTTAGGGGAAATTAAAAAATATATTTTTTTTTTATTTCCTTGGGGAAAACATTTAAAAAAAAAATAGTAGGATGTCAATTTCCTAATTTGGGGGGGTTTTAAGGGGAGTGCTGTAAAGGAAGCTCGGGATTTATTTAAAAATTTCGGGTCTTGTTGCAGCTAATTAATAACACGTATGGAGTATAGAAGTCGGCCCTTATTAAAAATTTAATTTCTTTTCCTGTAAAATTTTAAGGTGGGGGGTTTAAAAGTTTTTGGGGGCATTCGTACATGTGAGAACTTCCCTTTATGAAAAAAAGGCTTTTGGGAAACCATTCAAATTTTAAGTAAAAGTCCAAAAGATTGTTTACAGTGGTAGTGCTCCAAAAGTGTTACATTTTTTTAACATATTTTCAAAAAATAAAAAAAAATAAGAAATTTTTTTTACACATTTTAAATGTAAAAAAAAAGGCATTTTTTTTTTTTAAAAAAAAAATTTAAAAAAAAAATTAGTTTTTGGATAGTTTAATTAAATTTGGGGGGAAAATAGTCCTGAAAAAGGGGGGGAGATTTTTTTTAAATTTAATTAAAAGTGAAATTTTTTAAATTAAATGTTTAAAAAAATTTTTTTTGGGGGGATTTTCTTTAAAAACCAGCCGTATATGAAAGGGGGTTAAAAAAAAAAATTAAAATTTTTTTTTAATGTTTTGTAAAAAAAGAAATTTTTTTACCCTTTTTTGAAAAATTTGTTTTTGCACCCTTTCCTTTTAAAAAATCCCATTCCACTTCCCCAGGTGTAAAAAAAAAAGCTTTGTAAGAAAAAAAGAAAACCCCGAGGGGGTTATTATTTGTCCCGATGTGTTGGTTACTTAAATTGGTTGAAGAGAAATTCCCATACTTCATGTTTTTAAAAAAAAAAAGAACCCAGAAAAAATAAAAAAAAAAATTAGTAAAACGTTTTCATTATTGGATGCCAGTAGAAACTCCCCGGGTTTGCTGTTATCAACACACCCATTGAAAAAAACCCCCTTTTTCCCCCTTGGGGAAAATGGCCCCTGGTAAAAAAAAAATTTTTATATGGGGAAAACCCTTTTCATGCCATGTTTTGTAAAACCCTTTTTAATAAATAATAATAAAATTTATTTCTTTTCTGTAGCAACAGGTTTAAAGTAGTTCAGTAATTTAAAAAAATTTTTAGGCAGAAATGTGGTACTTATTTAAGACTGACAGCAGAAAGTAGTCATAATTATTGTAATGAAATATGTAATGTAAATTATCTTTTTGCAGATATGGGCCGTGTTGCTAGCCAGTTCTACATTAAGTATGACACCATTGAAGTTTTCAATGAATTCCTTAAGGCTGTCATGAATGAGGCTGATATATTGGCCTGTATTGCTCAGAGTTCAGAATTTGTTCAGTTGAAGGTATGTGTACTTTGCTTTTCTTTCCTTATTTTTCTGATGTAAAATGTCAAGTAATTAAATTTTGTGTTTTGACAGCTTGTTTGACTCATGTCATGATTGAAACATGTTAGATTAACTAGAAATGCTTAGTGTGTGATAACAGCAAAGTTCAAATGCAGTTCTTTTTTCTGAAAATGTGATCTTTCATGAAACTAGTAAATTTTGAAACAGCTATGTCTCAAGAATATTGTAAATTCCAAAAACCTTTCTCTTCCTTAATACAAAGGATCTTTCTGAAAAAGTTGTGTGAAATGTGTGTTCATGAGATGTAAACTAAGTAGATTAGATTCCTGACTCAGTATTCCCAAACCTCTCACAACTGCAGAAAAGTAGGGAAATGGTTAGTTAATATACTAATAGAACACTGTGATAATAAGCAAACCAAATCCAGTCTTGGTAAATTAAAAAATTGTGCCTCAGGGTATGGTCCTAGCACCTTTGCTGTTTATTGTTTGGTTTCATCTTTTACAGATGATACCAAAGTAAGTATGAAAATTACTCTGGCACAACACTCAGAAAAATTAAAAAAAAAAATGCCTGAAAAGTTTTCCAATTGGCAAAGAAAATATGATAGTCATTGAGAACAAATTTCAACTGCTTAAATATGAGAAAAATGAAGAACTTTAATTTATTTATTTAACACATCGGCCGCCTCACACTGAGGCAGGGTAACCCAAAAAGAAAGAAACAAAAAAAATTTCATCGTTCAACACTTTCAACATTATTCTTACATAATCATTGTCTTTGCAGAGGTGCTCAGATACAACAGTTTAGATGTCAGTCACTCCAAACAGCCAATATCCCAAACCCTTCTTTAAAGTGCAGGCATGACTTTCCACCTCCAAGACTCAAGTACGGCTATCCGGTTTCCCTGGATCCCATCATAAAATATTACCCTGCTCACATTCTACAGCTTGTAGGCCCCAGAAGACCATCTCCATCACTCCTACTGAACGTGCGTACCATCTACAAGTCAAAGAACCCTCCCACAAAAACCTCCTCTACCCCTTCCTCAAACCTTTCCTAGATATCCTACCTCAATCATTGCCTTCCACTGCCAGATTTATACTTCCAGTCATTAATTTGTTCCATTCTCTCTAAATGACTAGACCAACCCAACAGCCCTTTCCTCTATGACCAATACTTTTAGTAGCTCCACACCTCCTCCTAATTTCACACTAAGATTCTGCTGCATATATTACACACACAGTGCCCTTAACATGAATCCCACTGCATCCAAACTCTTGATGCACCATTTTCACCCTACTTCACACCCATATTAGAGTACTGTAAGGAAGCAGACAGACCCGCCGTATTCCACCCAGCAGGTGGCCCAACAAGCATAGCTAAAAGTTCTCTTTAAATTAGATTATACAGAAAGGGGTTACTACCCCTTGCTCCTGCATTTTAGTCCAGGATGACCTTAAACACCATAGCTTACGGAGGCAAGAATTCTGTTACTTCCCCATGGATATAAGGAATAAACAAGATCAAGAACCTCTAAAAAATAGAAGACAACTCAGAAGTCTTATCAATAACATGTACATGAGAGTAGTGTGACCTAAGTTAGTAGAAGTAGCAAATACCTGTAATCTTGCTTATTTTGGAAGACAAAAGACACTCGCATCCTACATCATGTAATACACATTACAGGCCTCGTTTTAACATACACTGGCAGGATGGTATACCTCCTGGTGTTGCTGCACCTCAACCAACCTCACTCTCTCTTTACGTTTTGATCAACAACCCGCCGTATCCCACCGAGGCAGGGTGGCCCAAAAGAAAAAACAAAGTTTCTCCTTTTACATTTAGTAATATATACAGGAGAAGGGGTTACTAGCCCCTTGCTCCGGCATTTTAGTCGCCTCTTATAACACGCATGGCTTACGGAGGAAGAATTCTGTTCCACTTCCCCATGGATGTAAGAGAAATAAACAAGAACAAGAACTAGAAAGAAAATAGAAGAAAACCCAGAGGGGTGTGTGTATATAGCTTGTACATGTATGTGAAGTGTAACCTAAGTGTAAGTAGAAGTAGCAAGACTACCTGTAAATCTTGCATGTGTATGAGACAATAAAAAGACACCAGCAATCCTACCATCATGTAAAACAATTACAGGCTTTCGTTTTACACTCACTTGGCAGGACGGTAGTACCTCCCTGGGTGGTTGCTGTCTACCAACCTACTACCTAGATAAATTTATTTATTTATTTATTTATTTATTATTATTTGGACATGATACATAGATACATTATAGGTAGTAGGTTGGTAGACAGCAACCACCCAGGGAGGTACTACCGTCCTGCCAAGTGAGTGTAAAACGAAAGCCTGTAATTGTTTTACATGATTGTAGGATTGCTGGTGTCTTATGTCTGTCTCATAAATATGCAAGATTACAGGTACGTCTTGATACTTCTACTTACACTTAGGTCACACTACTCATACATGTACATGTTTATTTATACACACTCATCTGAGTTTTCTTTGATTTTATCTTAATAGTTCTTGGTCTTATTACTTTTCCTTTTATATCCATGGGGAAGTGGAATAAGAATCTTTCCTCTGTAAGCCATGCGTGTTGTAAAAGTCATCTAAAATGCCAGGAACAATGGGCTAATAACCCCTTTTCCTGTAATAATTACTAAAACTAGCAAGAAGAAAATTGTCAAAGTGAAAAGTCTGAATGTGCGTGGATGTTGTGCGAATGATAAGAAAGAGATGATTGTGGATGTTATGAATGAGAAGAAGTTGGATGTCCTGGTTTTACGTGAAACAAAGCTGAAGGGGGTGGGTGAGTTTCAGTGGAGAGGAATAAATGGGATTAGGTCAGGGGTTTCAAATAGAGTTAGAGCTAAAGAAGGAGTAGCAATAATGTTGAAAGATAAGTTATGGCAGGAAAAGAGGGACTATATATGTATTCAAGGATTATGTGGAGTAAAATAAAGGTTGGATGTGAAAAGTGGGTTATAGTTGGTGTATATGCACCTGGAGAAGAGAGAAGTGTAGAGGAGAGAAAGAGATTTTTGGGAAATGTTGAGTGAATGCGTAGGGAGTTTTGAGCCAAGTGTGAGAGTAATGTTGGTTGGGGATTTCAGTGCTAAAGTGGGCAAAAATGTTGTGGAGGGAGTAGTAGGTAAATTTGGGGTGCCAGGGGTAAATGAAAATGGGGAGCCTTTAATTGAGCTATGTGTAGAGAGGTTTGGTAATAAGTAATACATATTTTATGAAGAAGAAGATAAATAAATATACAAGGTATGATATAGCATGTAATGAAAGTAATATGTTAGATTATGTATTGGTGGATAAAAGGTTGATGGGTAGGCTCCAGGATGTACACGTTTTTAGAGGGGCAACTGATATATTGGATCATTATTTAGTTGTAACTACAGTTAGAGTAAGAGGTAGATGGGAAAAGAGGAAAATGGCAACAACAAGCAAGAGGGAGGTGAAAGTGTATAATCTAAGGGAGGAGGAAGTGTGGGTGAGATATAAGCAACTATTGGCAGAAAGGTAGGCTGGTGCAAGTATGAGTAGTGGAGGGGTTGAAGAGGGTTGGAATAGTTTTAAAAATGCAGTATTGGAATGTGGGGCAGAAGTTTGTGGTTATAGGAGGGTGGGTGAGGAGGAAAGGGGTGAGTTTGGGGAATAATGAAGTAAAGGGTGTGATAAAGGAGAAAAAGTTAGCTTATGAGAGGTTTTTATGAAGCAGAAGTGTTATAAGAAGAGTAGAGTATATGGAGAGTAAAAGAAAGGTGAAGAGAGTGGTGAGAGAGTGCAAAAGGAGAGCAGATGATAGAGTGGGAGAGGCACTGTCAAGAAATTTTAATGAAAATAAGAAAAAATTTTGGAGCGAATTAACCATTAAACGGTCCAAACAGATCGACGTTCAAATTCGTAGTGCTACAAAAGTAGATCTACTTTTTTTTACATATTTTCAAATATAACAGAAAACAAATGTAGAAAAAGTTTTTTTTACACATTTTCACATGTAAAACAAAAAAAAAAAGATCTACTTTTTTTTACATACTTTTCAGATGTTGAAAAAACGTATATATACGTTTGGACCATTTAAGGGTTTAAGGGTTAAACAAGTTAAGAAAGCCTAGAGAACGAATGGATTTGTCAGTTATAAACAAAGGGGAGTTAGTAGATGGGGAGATGGAGGTTTTGGGTAGATGGCGAGAATATTTTGAGGAACTTTTAAATGTCAACGAAGAAAGGGAAGCGGTAATTTCATGCACTGGCCAGGGAGGTATACCATCTTTTTGGAGTGAAGAACAACAGGATGTGAGTGTGGGGGAGGTGCGTGAGGCATTACGTAAAATGAAAAGGGGTAAAGCAGCTGGAACTGATGGGATCATGACAGAAATGTTAAAAGCAGAGGGGGATATAGTATTGGAGTGTTTTTTTTTTTTTTTCAACAAGTCGGCCATCTCCCACTGAGGCAGGTTGGTATTTTTGTTTAATAAATATATGAATGAGGAGAAGGTACCTAGGGATTGGCAGAGAAGGGTGACATAAGAGATTGTAAAAATTATAGTATACTGAGTATACCAGGTAAAGTGTACAGTAGAGTTATTATTGAAAGAATTAGAGGTAAGACAGAGAGCAGGATTGCAGATGAGTAAGGAGACTTTAGAGTCAGGAGGGGATGTGTAGATCAGGTGTTTACATTGAAGCATATATGTGAACAGTATTTAGATTAAGGTAGGGAAGTTTTCATTGCAGTTATGGATTTAGAAAAGACATATGCTAGAGTGGATAAGGGAGCAATGTGGCAGATGTTGCAAGTATATGGAATAGGTGATAGGTTATTAAATGCAGTTAAGAGTTTTTATGAGGGTAGTGAGGCTGAAGTTAGGGTATGTAAATGAGAGAGGGAGATTACTTCACAGAAAAAAGTAGGTCTTAGACAGGGATGTGAAAATGTCACCATAGTTGTTTAATATATTTATAGATGG